GCTGCAGGGCTGCCCGTACGATGATGTGACGTCACAATCACGGCTTGGGGATTCGTTGTTGCGTTACCCGCCGGTCAAGGTTGATCTGATTATCTTATATATATAAATTGTCGTTACATATCTCTCTCACGTCTCTCTTCTCCCCCTAATACTAATATATACATATAAATATATATAATATATATATATTTGGTTTGTGTGTGTGTGTGTGTGTGTGTATGTGTGTGTTGTGTGTGGTGTGTGGTGTGTGGTGTGTTTTTGTGTGTGTGCGTGCGTGTGTGTGTTGTGCGTGCGTGTGTGTGTGTGTGTGTGTGGTGTGTGTGTGTGTGTGAAGAAGTGTGTGTGTGTTGGTGTGTTTGTTGTTTGTGTGTGTATGTGAGTGACGTGCGTGCGGGTGGTGTGTGTGTTTGTTTGTGTGTGCGTGTGTGGTGTGCGTGGTGTGTTGTTTAAAATAGTGTGTGTGTGTGTGTGTGTGTGTGTGTGTGTGTGTGTGGTGTGTGGGTTGATGTGTTGTTTGGTTTGTGTGTGTATGTAAGTGAGCGTGCGTGCGCGCGCGCGGCGCGTGTGTGTGTGTGTGTGGTTTTGTGTGTGTGTTGTGTGTGTGTTGTGTGTGTGTGTGTGTGTGGTGTTGTGTCCGTCCTTCTCTTCTTCTCCTCATTTCCCCTCCTCTTTCTTAATTCTTTCTTTCTCGCTCCTTCATTACATCAAAAACACTTCATCGACGCAAACAACCCGAGAACAGGCTTCTCCGCTTTGCTTCCTCTCTCCTCCGCAGTCCCTCCAGTCTCCTCCTTCTTTGTTTTCTCTCTCCGCAGTTGGCTCGGCGGCTGAACGCGTCCCTGATGAGATGCCCTATCCCTATCAGCTGATGAGTAATATCACGGGTCCGTACAACTCTCTGCGGACGCCCGTACGTCCCGAACGGCAAGCGTGATTACCTGTCACCGATTGACCTACGACACTCAACCAACTGCTCAGACCGTGGTGAGTATAATTACAACATGTTCTGCTTGCAATGCTATGACAAATACGACATACGCGTATATGCCTCCATGACACTATTTGTCATAGGAAGATTTTTCTTATGGCAAATTATTGACTTGATTCAACTTCGTGTCATCGATTTACAGCTTGTAAATTCACTGCTTGCGTTCATAATAGCGCTGCCTAAACTCCTATGATGCGCACAACACACAGTGACAACAATAATTGTCCATAAGGAAGGAAGCTCCTAGTGAGCAAATAGTGTCATAGGAGAGCGTATGTCGTACTTTGTCCCATAGATGCTAGCAGAGCAGTCTGGTATATATGGAGATTCCCGCAAGACGTGGAGGGTGGAGACAGTGGCGGGAGAGGGAAAAGGGAAAGGGGGTGGGGAGGGAGAGAGAGAGAGAGAGAGAGAAGAAAAGAGAGAGAATGCGAGAGAGAGAGAGAGAGAAGAGAGAAGCGAAGAGAGAGAGAGAGAGAGAGAGAGAGAGAGAGAGAGGATGAGAGAGAGAGAAAAGAGAGAGAGAAGAAGAGAGAGAGAGGAGAGAAGAGAGAGAGAGAGAGAGCACAACTCCCTATCACAAGCGTAGGAACCCACGCGTGATTACTGTCATGCACCAGTTGACCTACACTCTCAACCACTGCTCGATGTAGTGAGTATTATGCCATCAGGAGTGAAATAATAGATATTTATCTATTATTATTCACATCCTGATACTAGTATATATGTGCGCGGTGCAGAGATACGTGGAGGCGGGGAAAGGTTGGAAGATGGGGAAGAGGAAAAAGGGGAGGGGAGGAATAGACGTGGTTAGGGGGCACTTAGATGAACTTATTAGACTCTCGCCTCTCTCCTCTCCCCTCTCTGTTTCTCGCCTCTCTATTACTCTCACTACCACGTCTCTCAACCTCTCTCGCTCTCCTCGCGCTCTCCTCGCTTTTCTTCTCTCTCTCTCCCTCCTCTCTCTCTCTCTCCTTGCTCTTCCTTTCTCATGAACCTCGCTTACTTCCCATTTATCCTCTCTCGAGCCTATCCTCACTCGTCGTCTTATCGCAGACTCTCCTTCAACACTCCTCAACTCTCTGCGCCCCCACTCTTATCTATCCTATGTCACACAACGTTGCTCTTCCCGCTAGCCTCAGCGCACAACTGTTATCACACGGTACGTTTGCCGATGCGTGGCATGCTATTATTTATCTCACGCGTGTTGCCGACAGTGGTGTGCGTTGTGTGTGTGTGTGTGTGTGTGTGTGTGTGTGTGTGTTGTGTGGTGTGTGTGTGTTGTGTGTGTGTAAAATGTGTGAGTGTGTCTCGGATCCCGCTCTCCTGTAGCTAATTACATATGTCCTGTCGTCGTGGTGGTATACGTTATAATCACGCGCTATCAACGCCAAACTAAACCATTTCCCATCATATTTACTCAATCATGTCAACACATAATCGTGTTTTGCGTGAGCTCTTATTTGGATGTCCGTAGCGTGCGAATAGATCCGGCTTAATTGCTATGCGATGCTGATGATGGATGATGATGATGAGATGATGATGACTGAGATGAATGATGATGATGATGATGATGGTGAATGCATGATGATGATTATTATTATGATTATGATGGAGATGATGATGATGTTGATGATGAATATGATAACGATAGCGTGTGGTACGGTGCGACATCGCTTCTCTACCTCTCCCATTTACGTTTTAATGGCGACCGCGCGGTAAACGGTGACGTCACCCAGTCGATGACGTAATCGCTTTACGCGTTTTGTGTTTCAGAACGAGGCTCAACAGTCGCTGACCACTTCCTGCTGGATGAGAATGGTATGATGATGATGACGATAATGATGACGACGACGACGACGATGAAGATGACGACGACGACGACGACGATGATGATGACGATGTGTGATGCTAGTTAATCACTAGTTCAAATGATTAATTAGAAGTTATGTGTAACAATTACTCGTTGAATTATAGTTTCGTGTATCAGTGAGTTTACTAGTGTAAGATAAGGTCATTCGGATTTTGTGGGCTAGCGTGTATCTCTATAACGTCTATAACCATGTCAGACTCCAGAAAATAATAATAATATATATATATATATAATTTGTAATTTCTGGAGTCTGATGCTGAGTTATATATATATATATATATATATATATATATATATATATACATATATATATATAGTATTATTATATTATATATTACTGCGTAACATGCGCTGAAGGCAGTCACTGAAGTCGCCATTAAGGCCTATAATATTTATTAAGGAATTGAGTGCAAATCGCACTGACTTACACCGTGAGTGTCATAAACTCGCTATCATGAGCGCTCGTACACTACACGTGAGTATTTTGACGCATGCGTCATTTTACTTGAGTAAAATTACTCACGCGTGCGCCGGGATTTTTAGCACCTGTATGTCTGGGTGCGACACGCAATCACGTTATACCTGCACGCGGCAGCGTTAGCCGAATCGTGCACCGGGGAGAAATACTCATTTTTCACACATGTGTACACATGTATTGTATACATGTGAACCCTAACCCTAACCCTAACCCTAACCCTAACTCTAACCCTAACCCTAAACAAAAAAATATTTTAAAAAAAAAAAAAAAAAAACGAAACGAATCGTTCTGACTTGATACGATTCGGAACCGTTCGGCTATTTTCGGAAAAATTAGTATTTCTTTCTGGTGCAATAATTGCGTTAGCCTGGCAAGCCTTCTACATTACCAGCTGTTTACCTGAGCGTGAATTTTACTCATAATATCTATGTTTTCACGAGCCCGAGACACGCGTGCTGTGTACCGTAGCTGTGTCAATGGGCGCGTTTCATAGAGAGAGGTATCGGAGGCAACGTATGGAAGTGTTGGGTGTGTGTGTGTGTGTGTGTGTGTGTGTGTGTGTGTGTGTGTGTGTGTGTTCCACCCAAGGGTGCCCTAAATCCACCCAAGGATGCCCTAAATCCACTCAAGGATGCCCTAAATCCACCCAAGGTTGCCCTAAATCCACCCAAGGATGCCCTAAATCCACCCAAGGATGCCCTAACACCCACAAAAGGATCCTGATACCCTCAGGAGACTCCCAGTGTCAGTGTAGGGGTAATCACACAGTTATAGAGCTGACATAGAAATTACCTAGAACATCAGAGCAACGTACGTACTGCCTGTTTATTTTCTAAAAATCCTTATCAGCTCTATTAGACTATTTGGCTAACGAATTAATTGTTCATGTAATGTCATTCTTGCACAAATCATACGTACTTAAACAGTATTGGGATTTGTCCTATTGCTTGGAAGCAGAGAATACTTGAATCCAAAATGCAATTAATGGACCGCCACGACTCGTGCATAAACACACGTACAGTCGCTCCAGTTTAAACAGCTGCAGAGGTTTTTACCAGTACTTAGTTAACTAGATTTCTCTGGACAAATTAAGCTGTACCCAAGTTCAACATTAATTCGAACAAGTGACCATTCGGCGAAGCACAGATAAGGAGGTTGGTTCCATGTACATGTGCTCTGTCAGTGTGAATTAAAACAAGCAAGCGTTGTCTGAAGTTGACGCTCACGGTTTTCCACCTGCTCCATCGTTCTGTGAGTTCATACAAAGTGGCTAGGGCACAGCGAGACTGTTGTCTATAATTATAATTTAATATGACATTGACATTGACAATACCAAGTTTACGCATTTTTATCAAATTTTTTACTCTACAAATACAATGAAAGCAGTTTTATTTCTGCAAAAAATGCGGCATAGGTGGAATGTAAAGGTGCTATAGTTTCTTAGGTAGGCTGTGTGCAAGATGTTACTTACACACTAGGCCCTACCCTCAAATTCAATGACTTGTCACTTGACTCACTTGAGTCAATCAATGCACGTCGCAAAGTGACTACAGACTACTGACTACCCAGTACCACACCCAAATATGACGTATGAACCAGCAATGCCAACATCTGTCAACTGATCGCAACAGACTTTAACACAATATCATTACGGTAATTACCAAGATTTGATGATACTTGTACAACTAGTACTGATAGAAAACAAATCGTGAAGAGCACACTTGCACGCAAAACGTTGCTGTCGGCTGCCATGTTTGTCTATGTCACGTGGTATACAAATTTTGTGACGTTGCGATCTCATGCGAGTGGAGGATGGACGGCAGAGAGCACCACACTGCTGTTTCCCAAGGAGTTATATTTAGCTCCTTGCTGTTTCCGAATGGCTATGGCTGCATGTATGCAATACCCGCTGTTATTATAGTTGAGCTGTTATTATATACGATGTGAGCTGTTATATACAATTTACACATACAATGTTATAACGTACAGCCATCGGGCCGAGACTGGCCGAGAGCACATAAGACAAGTATATACGTGCCAACTCTTATGCATTCTGCGTGAGACTCGCGCTCTCACTCCGAGTGTGCTAATTCTCACGCATACAGAAACAAACAGATAAAAAATCAAGTATACTCTAAAGCATTTCAATTCGCCGAACGAATTGAATTGAACAGATTGAATTTTGAACAGATTGAATTTGACTGTCACCTTATAAGCAGAATAAAGGGCCGAACAGTAGAGGTCATATAAATACAATTCCAAGCAGGATATAATAGTGATGTGTTGTTTTGAGCCATCCATATTATATACATGTACCAAATCCATCTAAAAGTAGAACTACATTAACAATGCACCAGAATGCACAATTTCAAGCTGAAAATGCACAAGCTCCCTCAGTGGTGTACGTGGGAGGGGTGCCCCCTCCCACGCCCTCCTCCCGCTCGGTCGCTCCGCTCTCTCACACTCGCATTTCAATCTCACTTATAACTCTCAACTCTAACTCAATGTTGGCAGCCCTCGCTGGCACTGTTTGTATTACATTGTTTACATAGAATGATAAAATCCATATCTCAGAGCCTGCATGGCCACTGTCTGACGAAACTGACAAATTTATTTGTTTGTGTGTATATAGTGTGCGCGTGTGTGTGCGTGTGTGCCTGCGTACGTGCGTGCGTGCGTGCGTGCGTGCGTGCGTCCGTGTGTGTGCGTACGTGCGGGCTTGCGTGCGTGCGTGCGTGCGTGCGTGCGGCGCGTGTGTGTGCGCGCGTGTGCGTGCGTGTGCGCGCGTGTGCGTGCGTGCGTATGAGCGTGCGTGCGTTCAAGCGCGTGTGTGTGTGTATTATCAATACGGCCACGTTACTGTTTTAGCTCATGCGCAATATCTCACCAGAGGAGTTAAATTTTGTGATTAAAATGCATTTAGTATGGCCAGAAGGTATCTCAGCAGAGGTTTCTGTAATAAATTCTTATTCGTATAGACCTGTGTTTATAATTAGGAGAGCGCCCTAGCCACTAAGGCGCAAAACTACTACTTCATCACCGCCCGCCCTTCCCCTTGTCACCCTTGTCTTCACGCTCAGCCTTCTTCTTCTTCCACCCTCCCTCGGCTGTCTTCTCTGCCACCTTCTCTCAGTCGCCCACCCCTCTCTTCCGCATAAAGCTATATATTACGTACCTTTATTTAGGCCGTACCGCACGTCTGAAACAGTGGTCGCGCATGCGCAATATCTCCCGAGAAAAAGAATATTTTGCCTAAATTATGAATTTAAAATAAAGAGGGGTTCTCCCAGCATAGATTTCTATGATAATATTCCATCAGTAGACATGACTTATGAAATAGGAAGCAGATCTTGCATGTAAGGTCCCGGGTGCATATACCAGTCAGTACACAATCTGGCTACATTACTGTTTTAGCCCATGCGCAATATCTCAACAGAACAGTTATATTTTGTGCTGAAAATGCGTTTAATATGGTCAGGAGATATCTCAGCATAGGTTTCTGTAATTAATTATTATCAGTAGACCTGTGTGTATAATGAGGAAAGCGCCCTAGCCAGTAGGGCGCAAAACTACTACTTTATCCCCGCCCGCCCTTCCCCTTGCCTTCTTTATCGCACGCTCAGCCTCTTTCTTCTCCCATCGCCCCTCAGCTGTCTTCCCTGCCACCTTTCTTTAGTCCCCCACCCCTCTCTCCCGCAGCAAGCTATATTACGTACATTTATTTAGGCCGTACTGCACGTCTGAAACGGTGCTCGCGCATGCGCAATATCTCCCAAGAAGAAAAATACTTTGCTAAAATTATTAATATAAAATGAATGAAGGGTTATCCCAGCATAGATTTCCATGATAATATTCCATCAGTAGACTTCACTCGTGATATACGAAGCAGACCTTGCATGTAGGGTTTCCGCTGCATAAACCAGTCAGTACACAATCTGGCTACATTACTGTTTTAGCGCATGCGCAATATCTCACTAGATTAGTTATATTTTGTGCTGAAAATGCATTTAATATGGTCAGGGCGTATCTCAGCACAGGTTTCTGTGATAAATTCTTATCAGTAGACTTGTGTGTATAATTAGGAGAGCGCCCTAGCCAGTAGGGTGCAAAACTACTACTTCATCCCCGCCGCACTTCCTCTTGTCTTCACGCTCAGCCTCCTTCTTCTTCCACCTTCTCTCGGCTGTCTTCTCTGCCACCTTCTCTCAGTCGCCCACCCCTCTCTTCCGCATAAAGCTATATATTACGTACTTTTATTTAGGCCGTACTGCACGTCTGAAACGGTGGTCGCGCATGCGCAATATCTCCCGAGAAGAAGAATATTTTGCCTAAATTATGAATTTAAAATGAAGAGGGGTTCTTCCAGCATAGATTTCTATGATAATATTCCATCAGTAGACATGACTTATGAAATAGGAAGCAGATCTGGCATGTGAGGTCCTGGGTGCATATACCAGTCAGTACAAAATCTGGCTACGTTACGCCTTTAGCCCATGCGCAATATCAATATAAGCTTTTATTTAGGCCGTACTGCACGTCTGAGACGGTGGTCGCGCATGCGCAATATCTCCAGAGAAGAAGAATATTTTGCCAAAATTATGAATTTAAAATGAAGAGGGGTTCTCCCAGCATAGCTTTCTATGATAGTATTTCATCAGTAGATATGACTTATGAAATAGGAAGCAGATCTTGCATGTGAGGTCCCGGGTGCATATACCAGTCAGTACACAATCTGGCTACGTTAGTGTTTAGCGCATGCGCAATATCTCAACAGAGCAGTTATATTTTGTGCTGAAAATACGTTTAATATGGTCAAGAGATATCTCAGCATAGGTTTCTGTAATTAATTATTATCAGTAGACCTGTGTGTATAATTAGGAAAGCGCCCTAGCCAGTAGGGCGCAAAACTACTATACTTCATCCACGCCCGCTATTCCCCTTGCCTCCCTTATCGCACGCTCAGCCTCCTTCTTCTTCCATCGCCCCTCAGCTGTCTTCCCTGCCACCTTTCCTTAGTCTCCCACCCCTCTCTCCCGCAGCAAGCTATATTACGTACTTGCGGCAGATGTTTTTACTCATCCTCACACGCGACATGCACGTCTAGTTCTCCCTGTCAACCTCCTGTCTTCGTCGAGGTCTCACGCCAAGCTTTTCCGCACAACATTCATATAAAAGGTCATGATGCTACGTGTTCTAACTATGACGCTTCAACTTAGCAATAGGGCCTGTATTAATTAAAATATTTGGAGTTAAATATAGAACTCGTTGTCATGGTAAACATAGCACGAACGTACGCATGCACGCGCGCGCACACCAGACACACACACAATCACACACACACTCACAAACAGGGCCGGGGGTCACGTCACAACAGCAGCAGCAGGGCACTGTGTGGCATGTCTGGTTGCACGCACAAGCACAATCACAGTGGGCACACAGTCACACAGCACACAGCCACACACACACAGCACACACGCCCGCACACGAGTCAGCACACAGGCCGGGCCGAAGGCGTCGCACGACACACACACACACGGCACGGCGGCACGCACATCACACACAACACAGCACGGGCGGCGTGTGGCACAACACACACCACACACAGCACATGGCGCACACGCACGGGCCCGCCCGGCCGCAAAACCACCACTTCTTCCAACACACACACAGCAGCACACAGTGCACACACACACAGCACACACACACAGCACACACGACACACGACACACACAGCACACGCACGGCACACCTCACACCAGCAGCACACACACAGCACCACACCAGCGCCACATGGGTGGAGCACACACACAGCGAGTCGACACACACACACACAGTGGCGATCACACCTACGGCAGCACTCTCACACCACACACACACGGGGAGACCAGCCGCACCCACACACACAGCACAGCGACACGTTTACCACACAGACACCACACACACGAGCCCGGCGGGCCTAGCGCACGGACACGCTAAAGCAAGCAGGCGGCCTCTTCCCGTCTATCTTCGTCGCTAGGTCGTCGGGGTCGGCCGGACGGGCGCGCCGTCCCGCTCTCCGGCCGTCGCCGACAGCGTGCGTTGCCCCGCTTTCGCGCCGCGCCGCCGGACCGTCGTCCCGCTCTGCTCGCACGTCGCGCGACCGTCGTCCGCCGCTGCTCCGTCGTCCGCCGACGCGTCGTTCCCCGCGCTGCTCCGCGCCGCCGCGCGACCGTCGTCCGCGTCTCCGCCGTCGGCCAGACGCGTCGGTCCCCGTGCTCGTCGCGCGCGCCGGGACCGTCCGTCGCCCGCTCTCCCGTCGTCGCCGACGCGTTCGTCCCCGCTTCGTCCGCCCGCCGCGCGAACGTCGTCCCGTCTCCGCCGCGCCGACCGTCGTCGACCCGCTCTCCGCCGCCGGCCGACCGTCGTCGCCCGCTTCTCGGCGCCACCGGCCGCGTGTCGTCGCAGTAGCAGCATGCATCAGCAGCAGCATCAATCGACCTGGCGCGGTGGAGCCACGCGCTTACTGCGCACCTCCTCCACGGGCGCGTGCGTCGCAGCACCTGCCCGTCGCGGGGAGCACAGGGGCTGGCGGCGGTCGCATTGGCTTCACACAGCTTTCAAGGTGGGTGACCTGCGGCTTTTTTTTAGACCGTGTGCGTAATGTGTGGGTGAAAGGCAGCGATTAACGGGCGAAAGTCGATCTATGCTGAGTCGTTGCACACAGCCGCAGCTTATAGCAGCCGCCAGATTTTTAACGTATGCGTGTGTGCGTGTGAGAGAAGAGAGAAAGCAGCGGGTAGGTGACTTAGCTTAGAGACGACTCGTTTGTGATTGTCGCTGTCGTTGTCGTAAGAGACGAGAGCTGCTAGGGTGCCGCGTAGCGATATGACGTCACTACACGGCTGGGGGAATGCGTTGTTGGCGTTACAGCGGTGTGCGTACAAGGTATGTTGTATCTCTCGCTTTTCTCTTTCTCTCTTTTTCGCTATCTCTCTCTCTCTCTGCGCTCTTCCTCTCTCCTCTCTTCTCTATATGATAATAGTATATATATATATTTGTTTGTGTGTGTGTGTGTGTGTATGTGTGGCGTGTGTGGTGTGGTGTGTGGTGTGTGTGTGTGTGGTGTGTTTTTGTTTGGTGTGTGTGCGTGCGTGTGTGTGTTTGTTTGCTGGCGTGTGTGTGTTGTTGTGTGTGTGTGTGTGTTGTGTGTGTGTGTATGTGAGTGAGGCGTGCGTGAGTGTGTGTATGTGTGTGTTTTGTTTGTTATTGTGTGTGTACTGTGAGTGGGACGCGTGCGTGCGGTGTGGTCGTGTGTGTTTGTTTGTGTGTGTGTGGTGTGGCGTGTGTGTGTTTGTGTTGTGTGTGTGTGTGTGTGTGTGTGGTGTGTGTGTGTGTGTGTGTGTTGTGTGTGTGGTGTGTGCTGTGTGTGGTGTGTTGTGTGGGTGTGTGTTTGTTTGGTTTGTCGTGTGTATGGTAAGTGAGCGTGGCGTGCGCGGCGCGCGGCGCGGCCTGTGTGTGTGTGTGTGTGTGTGTGTTTGTGTGTGTGTGTGTGTGTGTGTGCTGTGTGTGTGTGTGTCCTCCTTCTCTTCTTCTCCTCATTTCGGCCCTCCTCTTTCTTCCATTCTTCTTTCTCGCTCCTTCATCATCAAAACACACTTCATCGACCAACAAACGGCGAGAACATGGGTGCTTCTCCGCTTGCTTCTCTTGCTCCGCAGTCCCGCTCACAGTTCTCTCGCTTCTTTGTTTTCTCTCTCCGCAGTTTGCTTGCGGCGGCTGACAGGCGTCCCTGGATGAGATGCCTATCCCTATCAGCTGATGGAGTATCATGCACGGGGTGCCGTACAAACTCTCTCGTCGACGCCGTAACGGTGTCCGAACGCAGAGCGTGAATTACTGTCACCATTGACCTTCAACACTCACCCAACTGCTCGACGTGGTGAGTATAATACAAGCATGATTCTGCTTTGCATCTATGACAAATACGTACAGGTTACGGCATATTGCTCCTGCTATGACACTATTTGTCATAGGAAGATTTTTCTTATGGCAAATATTTGGACGAGTCAACTTCGTGTTCCGATTTACAGCTGAACATTCAGCTGGCTTGCGTTCATAATAGCGGCTCCTAACTCCTATGATGGCGCACAAGCACATACAAGCAAGTAATTTGTCATTAGGAAGAAGCTTCCTATGACAAATAGTGTCATAGGAGAGCGTATGTCGTATTTGTCCCATGATGTAGCAGAGCCAGTCCCTGGTATATATGGAGCATTCCCGCGAGACGTGGAGGGTGGAGAGCCGTGGCGGGGAAGAGGAAAAGGGAAGGGGGTGGGGAGGGAGAGAGCGAGAGAAGAGAGAAAGAGAGAGAGAGAGCGAGAGAGAGAGAGCAGAGAGAGAGCGAGAGACGAGAGAGAGAGAACGAGAGAGAGAGAGAAAGGAGAGAGAGAGAGAGAGAGAGAGAGAGAGAAAAGAGACGGAGAGAGAGAGCAGCAGCTCACTGTACAGCAGCGTCAGGAACACACGCGTGATTTAACTGTCCAATGCACCATTGACGACTTACACTGCAAAACCGAACCTGCCTCGATGTAGTGCAGTAATATGCCATCAGGAGTGAATGAATAGATATTTATCTATTATTATTCCACTCCTGATACTCAGTATATGGTGGCGCGGTGGCAGAGGATACCGTGGAGGCAGGGGAAAGGGTGGAAGATGGGGAAGAGGGAAAAAGGGGAGGGGAGAGAAGTAGACGTGGTTAGGGGGAACTTAGATGAACGTTTATAGACTCTCCCTCTCTCTCTCTCTCTTGTTTTCTCGCCCCTCTCTATTACTCTCACTACCCTCTCTCACCTCTCGCTCGGCTCTCTCGGCTCTCTCAGCTTTCTCTCTCTCTCTCGTCTCGCTCTCCTCTCTTCGGTCTCTCTCATCTCCTTCTCTTTCTCAATACTCTCGCTTACTCCCTTTCTCTCTCGAGCGCTATCTCTCACTCTCTTCTTACGACTCTCCTTCACACTCTCTCGCCCCCACTCTTTCTATCCTATGTCACACACTTGCTCTTTCCCGCTAGCCTTCAGCGCACATCACACGACGTTTCGAATGCGTGCATGCATTATTTATCTCACGCTGTGTTGCGACAAGTGTGTGTGCGTGTGTGTGTGTGTGTGTGTGTGTGTGTGTGGTGGTGTGTGTGTGTGTGTGTGTGTTGTGTGTGTGTGTGTGTGTGTGTGTGTGTGGTGTGTGTGTGAGTGTGTCTGGACCCGCTCCTGTACTAATTACATATGTCCTGTGCGTCGTGGGTGGGTATACGTTATAATGCACGCGCTGATCACGCCACCATTCCCCATCGATATTTACTCAATCATGTCTAACATAATCGTGTTTGCTGAGCTCTATTTGGATGTCCGTGCGTGCCAATAGAGCCGCTAATGCTATGCGATGATGATGATGATGATGATGATGGAGATGATGATGATGATGATGATGATGATGATGATGATGATGANAGAGAGCACGCTCACCTACACAGCGTTTCAGCATCCTTACCTTCTCTCTCTCTCTCCCTCTCTCTCGCACGCGTCGCCACGCAGCGTGCAGACGAGCAGGGCCGACGTCCCCGACGCCGACACCGTCGTCTACAACAGCACCGGTGTCGCCACCTACCTGTACCCGGCGAAATACTACAGCTCGTGCACGCTCGACATGACCTACTTCCCCTTCGACGAACAGGAATGCCATCTTATTTTCCTCTCGTGGACGCACAGCGGCGCTGAGATCGACGTGCAGGCGAAGAGCCACACAGCCGACACATCCTTCTTCGTCGCCCACGAAGAATGGCTGCTCGTCGGCACGGCCGTGAAGCGCCACCTGGTGCGCTACCCGTGCTGCGAGGCGCCTTACCCGGACATCCGCGTCACGTTTCGGCTGCGCCGCAAGCCGCTCTTCTACGTGTTCAACCTGATCGCTCCCAGCGTCGTCATCACCGTCGTCGCCATCGTCGGCTTCTTTACGCCGCAGACGGCGCACGGCGAGCGCGAGGAGCGGGTGACGCTCGGCATCACGACGCTGCTGTCCATGTCCGTGCTGCTGATGATGGTGTCCGACGAGATGCCGGCCACCTCCAACTCTGTGCCGCTCATCGGTGAGTGACGGGCGACGATGACGATGCGGTGACGGTTACGATGACGATGATGATGACGGTTATGATGACGATAACGATTATGATATTCGCCGACGAGATGCCGGCTACCTCGAATTCGGTGCCGCTTATCGGTGAGTGACGGGTGACGATGACGATGACGATGACGATGATGACGATGACGATGACGATTGCGATAACAATGACGATGACGATGACGATGACGATGATGACGATGACGATGACGATTGCGATAACAATGACGATGACGATGACGATGACGAAGGATTCTCATCAGTGTCATATCGCTTGGCACGGTACTATCCGTGCTTGCTGTTGTTGCTTATGTTATTATTATTGTTGTTGGTGTTATTGTTGTTCTTAATTGTTTATGTTGTTGTTATTGTTGTTACAGGTTAATATAACGGCTCGCTCATCAGTGTTGTATCGATGGGCACCGTACCATCCGTGCTTGCTGTTGTTGTTTATCTTATTATTATTGTTGTTGTTAATTGTTGATGTTGTTGTTGTTACAGGTAAATATTACGGCTCGCTCATCAGTGTTGTATCGCTGGGCATCGTACTATCCGTGCTCATACTGCACATCGATGACAAGGGCAATCACGGCGAGCCCGTGCCGCGCGCCGTACGCTCGCTGTTCTTCACCTGCCTTGCCGTGCCCGTGTTCGTACACATAGATGCCGAGCTACAGGAACCACCGCCACGCAGCGAGGTACGGTAGCATCACACAGATGTGTAGGGGAGGAAGGTATAGATAGGTGAATAGGTGAGAATGGGCGGCAGTGATAGTGTATCATATATATATATATATATA